TAAATTAATTTGATAATCTACATACCGGTCTCTGCTAAAATTAGAAGAAATTAAGACATATGCAAAATAATTTTTTAATTTTTATCCGAGATTTTGTCAGAAACAAATTTTTGAAAAAAAGGAATAGAAGAAGACATGGAGAGAGAGAGAGAGAGAGAGAGAAATAATATTTAATATGTAAACAAATTAATTAAAATAATTAATTTTAAATAATTAATAAAAAGTTATAAAAGCATAAAAAATGATTTTATATATTGAATATTAGCTGCAGGAAGAGAAAGAGAGAATAGAAAAAATCGTATATTGCGGATATAAATACAATGGAGAAGATCACATCGGCATTTATGAATATAACGTTTCCTCGTCCCGCGGCGTTGTTCGAGCGGAAAACATCGCGACTTTTTGCCGATCGGTGAAAGTTCAGCGGTAATCCTAAGCAATCCCGGAAGCCGCGCTCCTCCACTCGTAGTAACGTGCAAAGAATCGGTATTGTGTGCTCGCGTGAACGAACGCGTGCAGCCGCCGTTGATACAGGTCGTTTCAGAGCGCGGGCCGTTGAACCGAAACGGTCAACTGGAACGAGAGACGCCCGGCACTTTTTCCTCCTTCAATAACGGGCGATCCACCGCGCGCATGGATACTAATCGGGAGAAAATCAAGGACGTACTGGCGAACGTCGCTCGGCGCCACGCTCGACTTCAGGGCCAAGAAAGCGCGCGTTGAATTGTAAGTGCAAGGGATCTCTTGATGTGCTGCGCGAGGAAAAGCGTATTTTTACGAATATTTTTGCAATATTAAATTTTTATCATCTGCTTTTTTGTTAAAACTCGAATCTTCAGCATTCACGTAAATGTCTTAATTCAAGGGAAATCCAAAGAGAAGTTTGTATATAACTTTTATAATATAATACTTATATCTTTGTTGTAGTTTTGATATTAAATGTAATTTAATTTTAAAAATTATTTGATATAAAAATTGTATTCTTCATGTAAAATCAAATTTATAATTACGTTTAACGCCAAATATGTGAGAAAATTTAAATATAAAATATAAGTTTAATCATTTAATCTCAGGATTGCTTGATCGATTCTTCAATTCTATTTTTGTTAATTGTAAAAAGTTGGCGTCTCACAATTCATAGAAATCTAAAATCTTGACATTCTGAAATCGTCGTAAAATACAAAGATCCCATTTCTTAAACTTCTCATGTTTCATCGCGTTTAAGGATCCGGCTCGTTTCCAGATTCTTGGTATCTAAACTCTTGTGATATTTATATATAAAATCAGAATATTATATCTCCTGTATCTAATGTAATCTTTGAATCATATATTTCATATCTAACGCAAAAATCTATATGTATACCGCTGTAAAATAATAGTCAAACTTACTTCTGTAAACGATCGAAGATACTTTCGCCGATGTTCTCCACGCGATTCCACCTGAGAAAGTATGCTCGCTGAACGACAACGCGCAGATCCATGATCCAATATCCGTCAGCGAGATGTATCACCAGCTGAGCGGTCTCGCAAGCCCGCGAATTCTCGTCAAGTGCATCCGCACTCACCGCATCACTCTCGCGTTGGTACGCGCTCACCGCGCGTCGTTCGCGTGAATCGCATGAGAAAATCAGCGATCTCGATTTACGAAAGAGAGATCCGGGGAATCGATCTTACTCAAACGCGAGCACTGGCACAAGGTAGATCCGTGGCATACATCAGAGCTCGACGCACAACCGTTCTACAAATCTAGATATCTCTCACTTCCTCCCGATTTCGCGCCCGATCCTGCGGATCTTGATTTCTTTCCAGTTTATCAGGTCGTGCCGACCAAAATCGAACCGCTAAAAATCCGTGAATTACGCGTACAAAATCGCAAAAAATGTGCCGCGATATTTTGTATTTTACGATCAGCTTAATGGAGAAGATTAAATCCGCAAAATGGTCTTTTCGATTTTATCGAAAGTCTTATTTGCGTCGAAATTGCACATGTCAGGCGAATCGGAAAGAAACGATACTCCAGCCTGAGTTATGATTTGCGTCTGTAATCCATATATCGGAGTAGCGTCGTTATACCGAGAAACAATTTCGCGCGATATAAATCGCAGATTGCACTTTTCCACTTCACCTCGATCCTGTCAATAGACTCCGTTCTTACATTCTTCTCTCGCGATCATCCAAAGGAATAATCAGGAGTAAGTGATCAAAGAAATTTTTTTTCGATTCTATTAGATTTTCTCGATCATCTTGATCTTATATGTTTCAAAAGTAAAGTTTGACACACACACACACACACACACACACACACACACTGAAGGTCTCACACGAGAAAACAATTAATGCATGTAAAACATGCAACGGAATTAAATTCTTAATTAGCGCGACGAGAAATTCCGCTGTCAAGTAGATTCGGATGCGTATCCGCGAGACACAGGCCACAGGTCTTATCGATTCTCACGTCCTTCACCCCTAAAAAGGGTAATCGTCGCTCACAAAAGACGGCACTCTCGAGATGAGCGCGGATCGGTCCCGGCGCGCGCGCGCGAGGACGCGTCGCAGGCGTTCGCGGGCGATCTACGGGATCGTTGGGACAGCTCGGCGCGACTCTCTCGCACGCGTGCGTGTATGCGTGTGCGTAATCACGCGGCGATATAAGGCGGCCGCGATGCGGTTTCACGGGTGCAGGGAGAAGGGAGTTACATCAGAGAGTACCAAGAGTCCCGCGCGGTTCGGCTCGTCGTTTACGATGACGGCGACGACGACGATGATATGACGCGCGAGTTTGCTCCGCGTCGAGACTCCGCGTCGAGACACCGCTTCGCTCGGTGAACGCTGACCAAGGGACCGACGAAAGACTGTCCGGATCCAGCTGGGAGTCACGACGATGCTGGGCCGAGACGCGAGTGACCATTACGCGCATGCACGAGGCAAGGCAAGGCGAACCCGACAGCACAGACCGGCACGAAGGAACGGCTTCGACGGCGCAGGAGAGCGAGCAAGAGGGGTTCGACGGGGCCTAATCTGACCGGAGGGGCCCCTATGTCCCCTTCGCGCTAACTCTCCCTTGGCGAAAGGTGGCCGCACGAGATTCTACGGTCGGCCGAGATTGTCCTTGCCGACAATGCACGCGGCGCTGGCAAGGCAATGTTATAATTTTGTTATTAAAAAAAAATTACGTAGAATCTTTGCAAATAGCTTTTCTTGATCAGTTTTGTATCACACATATTAAATATTAAATTTAATTGATATAAAAATCATCACATATTCCTCTTTCTCTTTGTCTCTCATTCTGCTTTAAGAAAGTTTTCCTAAGTTTTTATTTAAATGTTACGTTCTCTATAAATGAAAATTTGGCTTTCTTTAGATTTTTATTTTTAGTACTCTCTATTTGTGATGGAAGTATGTTTTAAAAATTTTATTTAAAAACATGTATGTGGTACTCTCTCTCTCTATCGAGAACTCCATTACGGCTGTACGTCTATAGGTTCCTTAGCCAAGGTTCTTATTTCGCTTGGGCGGGAGAAATCTTAGATTCAAACACCTCATCGCGTGGCTGCTCTCGCTACGCCGGTTAAATATTTCGCGGTATATATATTAAGATATTAGTCACGTAACTGACCATCGCCACTATTAGCTTCCGAAACTGATTTTCACGCGATCTTGGAGCACGTGATTCGGTATCCAGAACACGCGATATTTCAGTCTTGATACTAATATAATACATCTACACTTTCTTTTAATAATAAACGTTGATTCATTAAGAGAGAAATAATTATATAGCCGCTTTCTAATTTCTATATTAAATGACATTTCAACATAATATTTTTCCAAACATATATAGTTTCAAAACGTGGCGCGTTTATATATAAAAAATATATTATAAAAAATAATTTTAACCATATATTCAGTAGACAATTTTTTTTGATAATATTGAAGCCTTGCAATATTACTAATTGTTGAGACCTTTCTCTTGTATATAACATTGTTATTATCTCATGGATATAAAAGTATCTTACAAATCCCAACATCAAGCATTAAATTTAAGTCTCTCAAAATAAAGTTGCTGTTTCCAGAATCTTACGAATCTTATCCTGTTATCAGTTCGATTCAGACTGCGTATCTTTTCTGCATCGTGCTGTCGTCGACTAAACATACGAAGAGTCGAGTTTTTACTCGCAGATAATTCATGTTAACTGAGAATTCGCGTTATTAAAATATTGTGAAGGGAAATGAAATTCTTTTTTTAGCTCCTTTTATCTTACATATAAATTAACTTACGCAAATACATTAACATATTTGTATTATTACACGTTTTATGAAGATTAAATCTCAAAAAGATTAAGTCGAGACTAGCTTGTTGTTGAATCATTGGAGTTATCGCGAACGCAGCATATCTCAATCATCTCTATCTTCCCCCCCCCCTCTCTCTCTCTCTCTCTTTCTCACTTCTTCTCTTTCTGATGCTGTTATTCGCTTCGTTCAACTTGAGTGACTCTAGTATACCAAGTACGATTCGAACCAAGCTCACTCGAACCGTTGTAAACACAGGAGGTATTACTCAAAATTCGGTTTGGTAATCAAACAAATAACACATTCCTGTGCAGTCAGATACCGTGCGCCGCCAAAATATTTTCCGTTTCAGAGAAAGCAGCTGATTGCAAAATTAAACAACCGAGATATGGATGGCGCGATAACAGCTTATCACGAAGATAATCATCTTAAAGTTTGTTATAAACGCTCTCATTACGATGCAACGTTTGAATACCATCTGCAGTAATCGCATTTATATGCACCATGATCCGTAAAACATTTAGCGTTAAATCTCTTTTTTTCATAATTATAATTTAGCGAGATATAGTATAGTGTCTTCTAATGTTTATATCTCCTCGACATGTTTATGCCAGACGCATTTATACTGTTTGCGATCAAACGTAGCATTATCCGAAGAAATTTAATCTTCAATAAACAAGTCGAGTAAGCAATCGTAAACACACGATACATACGTCCGTGCATTCGAGATCGGTCCACGTTCATCGGCTGCAGAAGCGGCGCGACGGAACGGCTCTGTCGGGCTTACTGATTACTCCGATCTGCTCAATTTGATCGAGGTATGAGAAGAGCCACGTGCCGGGTATATTGGTTGAAGATTCCGCGGCGTTGCCAGCCAGTGGCTTGTCTTAGTTCCAACCATTGATACCGCTGAGATACTCCTCGACGAGATGGCAACGTTGACAGCGTCGTGCAGCTGGCATGGTGCTCCGACACCTAAATCGAGAGGCAGTTTACAGTGGTCCACCGGATGCTAAGAGGCTTAGCGCTGCCGGGAAGGAAGCGATATGGCAGCAAGCGATCATAGAAAATGGTACGGAAGACTGGAGAACGAACGGATGTGTACCTACGCGCGCATACACACATATATACGCGCACATACACACACACACACACACACACACACACACACACACACACACACACACACACACACACACACACACACACACACACACACACACACACACACACACACACACACACACACACACACACACACACACACACACACACACACACACACACACACACACACACACACACACACACACACACACACACACACACACACACACACACACACACACACACACACACACACACACACACACACACACACACACACACACACACACACACACACACACACACACACACACACACACACACACACACACACACATACACACATGTATTTATAGCTTCTCGACTAGCCGACATCGAAAGACTACAAGACGCATCTCTTGCTCTTACGTTTGACGCTGCCGATGATGACGGGGTTAATGGAAACTTGGAAATTACACGTTGATCGTAGACGAATGCTTATGTGAATGATGTGCGCGAATAAATCTTCATTTGTATCATCTCTTTACTGACACTTGTAATTTTGTTTATTCTAGTAACACCAGTTTTTATAATAACACTATATTTGTTTCTTTCGATAGTCGGCAGAATCGTCGAATAATCATCGAGAGAAATAGCGGAGAAAATTTATTTACGACTTTTATTACTCTCATCTAAAGCGATAAATATAGCGATTATTATGGAAACTAGTGTTGCATTACGAGAATTGCTTAACCGTATTCAACGGTAATCTCACCATTACGACTTATTCGATATGATCAGTTTCTTGTTGCCCGTTTCGCATCGTTCTCCAACTGGAAATATCCTTGCATCTTATAATATTGCTAATCCTGATGACGTTAATCCTGCATGTCGATGATCTACGGCGCCTTAGAGCACCGCTATCCCGTGGAATGTCTGGATCCATTACGCTGTTAGTTGTTGCGTCCGATGACTGCGAGGATTTATAGACGCATGTAGACACTGTCCTCCCCGGGGTGAATGGATTTTATCGTTTCGTAGAGGCCCGTGAAATTCCTCATGGCCGACCGACAATGACGGCCAATCAACAAACCATTCTGATCGCCGTGTAACGTCGATTACAAAAGGAAACTTACGAATGTGTCCATCTAGACTCTTGGCGTGACTCCTTAACAACGATTTTTTCTCTACGTCATTTTTGGCTTATTTTACCTCGATTGAATTACATCGTCTCTCGACGTGAAAGCACGAAACGTGCATAAAGTGGTATCCTCAACGGGATACATAAACACGGACGCTTCCTGCATCACCCGAGCTGAATTTTTATCACCGACTTATCACCGATAAATCGCAGCCTAGCCAATCTCAGGTGACTTATTTTTTTTTGCGGCAGGTTGCGGCCAGGTAATTCAAAACCGTTGCACTACATTTTCCTCGGATTAATCACCGATGATGCTGACTGTCTCAGTAATACACATGAGCGCAATAGCAGACTTATCTCAAGACTATTAATGTCAAAAATAAATTTTTTTTATTACTCTATTTTTATAAAAATATTTAAAGATATAGGCACAACACATGTTATATAATTCCATTCTTGTGTTTATGAAAAAAAGAAAATGATTCTCGTCATTACATAACAATCACGGAAATTATCACTTGCTCGGTAGGCTTTACAAGCTGTCTTTGAAATATGTTGCAAATTACAAAGCGATCACCGTGCTACTCTTCAAACGCACTGCTTAATAGAAGATATAAATGTAGCCATTTCTATTTCCATTCAAGCTGACCTTGCACTGCGATATTAATAGACATTAAATCGCTTTGCAGATACTGATTGCGATAACGCTGTTATATTGAGTTCGTCACTCTTGCTTGTGGGAAATATATTTTATAAATTTCAATATATTAATCTCCATAAACAAATTTACTATTTTATATAAAATAAACATTATATTCTTTTCATCAAATAATACTCAAATTTGGTACATCATTGATAAAAGATAAATAATTTTCTTATAAATATAATCGCTTCACAATCGGCTTCCTAAAGTTTTTTTATTAAATTTCTTAAAACATAAAATTTTCTGTTTAAAAAAGATAATATTAAATTTATATATGTGTATA